ACCCACCAGATCATTTCTGGGGATTTTTGTAAGTTCCCAAAGCACATAAGCATCTCTACCTTTCCCTGCATGCCCAGCGGCACATGTCCTCCCCTACCCTGCTTTCTGTCCCTCTTCCTCCAGTTGCTGCTGCTTTCCCAGCTGTCCTGGGGGTGGGAAAGCTCTGCAGCTTACTCCTACCCTCTCCAGCTGAGCTGTGCAGGGTCTGGGCTTAACTGGCAACAGTGGCACTAACAAGGGGAGGAGGTGGATTCCCCCACACCCCCACCCCATGTGGCCCAGCTGGAGCAGGCAGGATCAGTTCTGAAATTGCCCTTACTCCCAGGAAAGTGAGGAAAGCAGCATGGCAGGTGGGAGACAGAGGGAGAGGAGGGGAGGGGAGAAGATGTGCCTCTAAGCAGGGAGGGGAAGGCGGAGACATGACTCATCTGCTTTAAAAACGTTCCCAGAGGCTCCAGCAGCACAATCCAGTCCATCCAAAAGGGGAGTGCAGCCAGACCACTGCAGACCATCTGGATCCACCCCTGAGTGGCACCCCATACCAAAAACTAACTATGAATTACATTGCTTACCTCCTTGCAGAGGGGCTGGGCAGGGGAGCGGCCAGACATGAAAGAGCCTAAGCCTGTTCTTGTCTCTTCTCACCTGCTCATCTCCTCACACCTCACCCTTCAAATGATATGGCAGCGGCATTCTGGTTGAGAAGCACTGATCCAGAGGTAATCATCAGGGAATGGGGCCCCTTTGTTAGTGCACAGATTTGTGACTAGTCCCAGCCCTGTAGGGTTCATGGTCTAGGTTAGGACAGGACACAACAGACCAATAAGACAACAAGGGAGTAGAGAGGCAGCTACAGATGGTACTGATTTTGTTAATAACAACACTTGGCACTTCACATTTGCAAAGTATTATACATTCAAAACTAATTTTTTCCATTTACATAGAAGGAAAATGACTCTCTCCTGACCCTTAATGGTTTTCTTCTCAGAGATAGTGGGATACTTCTCAGAGATACTGCTGTCCAATTCTGGAGCAACATTGTATGGAGATTCCAAGACCATTAAAAGTCAATAACAACATTGTTCTTTTAAAATCAAAGTAAAAGCCTGATCGGAAGTCAGTGCAGCTATCAGAGTAGGAAAAATATGCAGTGATCATTTAGAACAGCTACTGTAAATAGCCTTTCTATAGTATTTTAAGTAACCTGAAGCCTTTGAAGAAGTGGATAAATTATTCAGGTAGAAAGTCTTTATAACATTAGATTCTCAGGATCACTGAAGAACAACTCAGACCTCAGTGTTGCTCTGATATAATATATTGTGTTCTCAAAGTGGTAACAATGATATTCTCACTGAACTGCTGTAACGTGAAGTTGCTGAAGAAGCAGTGCAACTCTAACAGCTAATACCTGGACACACAAGTCAGAAATCCTTAGTTCTATTCTTCCTATTAATCTTCACTAGTGACTCATTCTGCGACTTTGTCAAGTTTCTATTCCACAGAAACCACAAGTGCTGAGCACTTCTAAAATTGGGTGAGTTACCTCTAAGCCTCAGGGCAACCATCTGAAAAATAACTCAGATTCAAAACAACACTTAAGAGTCTTATTTGCAGTGACAAGGAGAAGAGCACAAGTCTATAGTATGCCACAGAAGGAGAAACTGTTGCATGTGCATGAGTCAACCAACATGTTTTCAGTTTTGTTCAATTTAGTTTTGGAAAGTGTTGAGCCATTCAGTCCTGAACCTATGCCAGGCACTGCAACAAACCCAACACTGCAATTGAAGCATCAGGAGTGTGGGAGAGTTACATCTCACTGTCATCAGCATATGGTATATGATAACATATGCATGAAAAACTGAAGCCAGAGGTAAAGTATGAAGCTAGCACACTGCCCTGAGGAACACTGCAATATCTTGGAAGGCTGACCAAAGCAGGAAGCAGTATCTGAAATCTGGTATCGGGCTGTTGTAAACCACAAGATATTAAAATACATTCTAGTAAGACCTCATGATGCACAAGACCAGAAGGTGGATGACAGATCAAGGAGAAGAGCAAATATTTTGCTCCAGTATCAGCTTAGGCAAAGAAGTTACTGCAGGAATTGCACAAAGCTTTCCCTGTATGGCCTAATCAGAACCTTTGCCACAACTTATCAAATGTTTTATCTTGCAGTGAATCCAAAGCTTCACATTGACTTTCTTTTCAAGGATTTTTGCCACTGTTGGTTACCTTGAAAATGGGAGTCAGTTTATAGGTTTTTCCAGTTGTCAGGGGAGATAGCTGTGCCAAATAAAGAGTAACAATTGGCATCATAAAAACAACCAAGAGTCCTACCAATAATGTGAATTGACAACTATTTCTCTTTTAAATTATTCTTTCCATCAGATTTCTGGAAGAGATGTATCAACTGTTGCATTCTAGAAAATGTTGATTTAAAAAAAGCTCTTGCACTAAAGAGCTTTCATTAAGCTGATAAATACAGTGCATCTATGATGCAGTTAAATAAAGTACAGTATTTCAACACCTTCCAACTGAGCATAATAAGAATGAATGATATGGATGTCACCTGTGCCTTTCAAACTGATGCTTAGAAAATGCTCCCAATATTTGGTAAAAGCAGACTACTAAATCCCGTCTCCTAATAATTGAGAAGTAATGTTCCAGTCATCCTTCCTCTGCCCACAGCCTCCAAACACTGACATCTCTGCACTTCATTGAGCAGAGCGAGCGATTCATTTTGTAAGGAAACAATAAAGTGACTTGAGCTGCATTAGCCCAAGTCCAGCCCCTGGTTCCCTGTCCCTCTTAGAGGCACCGCCAGAGAAAAGACCTTCTTGTCTTCAGCTCGGCCCCATTCCCAAAGCAGAGGCTCCCATTGGCTTCAAAGGGCAAAATGGTCACAGGAACCTTGCCCAGCCCTAAACGAAGCAACGGCTGCTTCCTTTTGTTAACAAGCACACGTTGCTCAGCGGCATGCATGCGCTGCCAGATCTGCATAGAAAGGGATCAGGTCATTACCAAGGGCTGATTGCAGACAATACCTGCCAGGCAGAACAGCCCTGTAAATGGATCCACCGTGCCCCCCTCCCCTCGTGCCCAGTGCCGATGCGGAGAGCTGGAAGCAGCAGCGGCAGCTCCTTCCTCCTCGGCTCTCGGCACGCGAAGCACTTACTTCTCCCCAGCCCCTCCGCTTTCCACTCCGTCTCCTCCACTGCCCCGTAGCGTCTCAGCGGCTTCTCCGCCTCCATGCTGGCGGAGATGGATCTCTTCAACTCCATGCCCGCGTGCACGGCTGCGCGGACTGCCTCGGCGCGGGCTCCGGCTCACTCCATGCCCGCGGGGGAGCGGGCTCCGGCTCCGCCTCAGCCCTCGCCTGGGCTGCACTGGAAGCGCTGCTGAGCTCACTGCATCTCTGTGGTACCCGCGGCGGAGAGGGGAGGGATGCCGCGCACATGCTCAGTGCAAGGATGCTGGCAACAAGCGCCGGGTGAGAGCAGGGCGCAAAGGGAGGGGGAGGCAGGGAAACAGTGGGAACGAAACCCGCGGGGTGGGGGAGAGGGGGGCATGG